GGGCACCATCAGCTTTCTTCACCACATTTGCTTATGCACCCATTTTTGTCTTCAGCGATCCTGTCAGGAAGGTGAGCATCACAGAATGCCAGTTTAGTAGAACTAAATGTTCTTGAATTAAAGGAGTACTTGGGTAGAGGCCTGATGTCCGTGTGCTGCCTTAATACTTAATATATAAATATATGTACACAGATCTATTTCACTATTGTTATATATAAGTATATTTACATAGGTACATGCCTGTATTTAGACTTCTATAAGGGTCCTTTGCCTCCTAGTTCTTTGCTCTGTTTCCTTTCACTTCCTCCTTTTCTCACTATCATGTTCAGCCTTCATTTGAGTTTCAGTAATTACTCTCGGCTACATTGCCCTTGATCAAGCCCCACCAGGCGTCCTATGCCCTCCTCACCATCAATTTTAAATCACTTGTTGTTCCCTTGTCCCTGGGTTTGTTGACACCCCTCTTTCTTTCCCCTGCCTTCCCTTCTCCAGTGCCCCCTTTAGCCCCACCCCCAGAACCATCGGTCCTGTTGTTTTCTCCTCCAGATTGTTTATCCCACCTATCTTACCTAGATAGACATGCAGAAACAATAATAAGCACAAAACCAAAACAACAAAAATAACGACAAAAAAAGAAAAGCCTGTAAATTGTTTGTTGACCTTTATGAGTGTTTTCCAGTTAGGTCTGATGGGATGCCATGCGCTGGCCCCAAATTCTATTTTTGGTATTCCCTGGGGACTTTGCTTTGCTCCCCTTAACTGCTCTGTTGTATGTCCCAATGTTAACTTTATTTACTTGTCTAATGGCATTCACTTTTCTTATGCATAGTACTTATTTCAATAATAGTCTTCGTGTGATTACTGTCTTCTAGTGCTTATTTTTACTGATTTCTATATATGGAGTTTAATAAGTAAGCCAATGCATCTTTCCTATTTTATTACTCATACTAAAACTGTTTTTGTGTATTTGTAAAATATATTGAGTAAAATGAGCTTTTGAAGATTATGTAGTCTATATGATTAAGTCATAATTAAGGTAAGACTGCATTTCATCTTTCCTTTATTCAGCAAGTATGTATGGTTCCCATCTTGTTGACAAACAAGATGCCTTAGGCTGTGTCTTGTACTTATTAATATTTCAAAACTAAACCCACTTTGTCTTATTTGTGTATCAGGCAATTATCAGGATTTTTCTCCTTGCTATTTTTACTCTACTTGCAGCATTTTCTCTGTGCTCTGGGCGGAACTTTTGGAGTTAAGTCACATTCTCAAAGGAAAACTCTCCTGTCTTGTACTTTATGCTTTTTTGGCTTCTCATAAATATGTCAGGTTTTAGAATTTTCTTTTAAAATTGCACATTATAATTTTCTTTGAAAATTACACATTGAAACTTACATCACAAAATGATATTTTGGTTAGTTTGCAAACCAGATTTATAGTAATTCTGCTAGCAGTCACCAAGATTTTTGTAACCCATTTTTAAAGATTTTTAAATACTTAATTATTCACCAAAAATAATATACCAAAAATTTTAAATGACAATCTCTTTAAAGACATGTAATTCTCTCATTTGTTTCACTTCATCAGAGAGAGAATTCTTTGCTTCCTCCTTTCATAGACTGACCGGGTGTTACTCTAGAGCTGTGTCTAGAAAGGTCTGTGTGTGCTCCACCCTTCAAATGTGGTAGAGGGAAGAACAACAGACTGAGGAGAAGGTCTCATGTAGCTGGGTATGTGTGAAAAGATAATTTCCCCAGAAACTGCCTATGTAGGGAAAATAGAAGTTCAGGGGACTGGGTAACATCTAGAATGAACTATAGAGGCATCTAAACCTCACAGCTTACTACAGAGTAAGTTCCAGGTGGATTAGAGGTGTAAATGTGAAGCATCAATAAAGGACCAGGAGAAACCACAGGACTTTCTCTCTTGATCTCAGTGATGGGATGGGCTTCCTAATATGTCAGAAATCCAGAAGCCATAAAAGAGGGATTCCCATATTAACAGAAAAAACTCTTGACAAAACCTCTATAAGTAAAACCAAGACAAGTGACTAAGTGAGGGGAATATCTGAAACTTGTATGAAAGAACAGGTTTTCATACAGATCAATAGGGAAAGAACTAGAATCTGGTAGAAAATTTGGCAAAGCTGATAAACGGACTTATCTTCAGGAACGGAAGTATTAAACAGCTAGCTTTGAAACATGAAAAACCAACCTCACCTGTAATACGGGAAATGCAAACTAGAAGCAGCAGTACTACCTTCACTGTCAGGTGGGCCAGTTTGGTGACCCTCATGGGCACAGAGGCTCTCCCATTCATTTGTGTAAGGTCTAAGTTTGTTTCGGCTCTTTCTCCTGTGAACGTTTGCATGCAGATAAGCCCGTGTGTATGGAATGGGGTGTATCCGTGGTTTTTTCCTTGAAGGCATTGTATGTCATAGAAAAAAATGGAAAATAACCCAGATATCTACAAGTACATTAACAAGTTAGAAAAATTACACTGCCTGCACAGAGTGAAATGCTACGTTACAAACATAAAATTGATGAAGATCTTTATGTACAAACATGAAACCATCTCTGAGATACCTTCTGTTTTTTAAAACAATATGTAAGCTAGTGTAAAGTCTATGAGCATTTGTGTAAAAAGTGATAGGGGAAGAAGTAGACATACATATTTGCTTGTATATGCAGAAGTATTTCTGGGAGATTACCCATGAAATGACAGCATCAATTCCCTCTGGGAGGTAACTGGATGCTTAAGGATGGGATGCCGGGGAACTTTACTCCCTTCCTTTGTCCTTTTTGAATTTTGAACATGATATTATATTACCCATTGTAAAAATAAATGAAAATAATCTAAAATATATTATTTTTTCTAAAAGTTAAATACAACTTTAAAATGTCTAATTTTTATAGGACACAAAAATATGGGAGAATATAACATATCAGCTTATAGCACTGAAACCATATTTATTGAAGTTCATTCAGGACAAGGGGTAATTATCCCAAAAAATACATTTTTCATGTTGAGGAATTCATACTTTTTGGGAGGCCCATGCCCTCTGGAATTTCATTTAGGCCATTAAAATTTTTCCAACATTTTATTTTATATGAAATCTCAATTGTGCAAGCTACGGTATTTGTCAAAAATGCCTTCCCAAGGCAGGCATAAGATTATTGTAAGGAAGTAAGCTATAAGTTAAGGAGACAGCAGGCTGAGAGAAAAATGAAGTATTGCCCATCTTAGAAGAGGAATTTCACTGTAACTCAAGTGAAAAGAGGTTATTTGTGTGTGAGACTGCACTTTGGGGAAAAAAAAGTCAAACTGATTCCAGCTCACAGCTGGGTGATCTTAAGCAAAATTTTACTTGTGTGCGATGTCAGTGATACCATTCTGTAGTTAGAGCATTCTGTTGGTTCACCTCTCTTTGGTATGGGCACAAATATGGATCTCTTCCAGCCAGTTGGCCAAGTAGCTGTCTTCCAAATCTCCTGGCATAGGCGAGTAAGTGCTTCCAGTGCTGCTTCAGCTGTCTGACACATCTCAGTGGGTATTCCGTCACTTCCCGGAGCCTTCTTGTTAGCTAATGAATTCAGTGCAGTTTGAACTTCTGTCAGCACTGTTGGTTCTTGCTCATAGATTACCTCCTGAAATGGTGGACTGTCAGCTGGTTCTTTTTGGTACAGTGACTCTGTGTATTCTTTCCATCTTCTCTTGATGCTTCCAGCATCACTCAATATTTTGCCAATAGAATCTTTCACGATGATGAATTATAATTTGTTTAGTTTTTACTTTGTAAGCTTCCTTAACTATTTTCAGTATTATTTGTACTTGCCTTGTTGTAGTGCATATTTCGCCCTTACAGAAATTCTTTCAGAAAACAGGTAAAGTGCAAATTAAAAATAAATAAGTGAAGTCTTAGCCCACAGGCACTGCCAAGTCAGTCTGCCTAAACCTACTTGTGTTCATTTTTCCAAGTCTTCATTTTTCCCCCTGTATCTTCATCCAGTTCTTTCTTTCTTTTTAAAATCATTTTATTGCGGGCTCTTACAGCTCTTATAACAATCCATGCATCACTTGTATCAAGTACACGTGTGCATATGTTGCCTTCATCCTTTTCAGAACATTTTTCTTTCTACTTCCACCTCAGTTGTTGGTGCCACCATGCCAGCCAAATAGAATCCTGTTTCCCCAGGATTCCCTCTGGGCCCTCGCAGTCTCCGGGTGGTTCTGTGAGAGCCCCTCAGTGATTCCCAGCTCTCACCCCAGGCTTGTGCCCTCAATGTCACTGACTGATTTCCTGCCATAGTGTCTGAGTTTTGTGTCATGGAATTTTATTAATAAAATTTAGTGGGTTTTGCCTTCATGGAATTTTATTAACGAAAGTTAGTGAGTGGCCTTTCTGCTAGAGAACCTCCACTGTGAAACGTGCTACTTGTGTCCGTGCCCTCCGTCTTCTTTATAGACATTCCTACAAGCTGAGATTTTACTTAATTTTACAGACAGTATCTTTGGATGGAACATTATTTTTAAAATCTGGAGTGATCTCTGGAGGATCAAGTGACTTAAAATACAAGGCTCGATGCTGGGATGAAAAAGAGTTAAAGAACTTGAGAGACAAAAGGACCCAGCTGATCCAAGAACTGAAGGTAAATTCAAGTTAGCAAAGTTAAAAAATACCTAGTAGATATTCTCTGTTTTAAACTAGTGTTGTTTTTAATAACAGTAATATCCTTATATTTTTACACTTTAAAAAGTAATTCAGCGTGGAATAACATCAAAAATAAAAACCTCTTCCTTCCTCATCTTCAGATCTCACTGGCATTTGCTAAGCACAGTTAAATATAAGGCTTCCAGAATTTTCTCCTCAAATTCACATATGCATGATTTTTCCATTTTATTTTTGTTTACAACAGACTTTGGTTAGCAGTGTTTCGCAACAAAGTTGTTCCTTTGTTATCAGAACCTGGTTCATTTTAGTAGTTGGAAATCTACTTTTAACATATACTTCCTGGTATTTTGCTGAACATATGTTAGGTATCTAACCATTGCCCTGTTGACAGGCATTGTACCTTTGTGTTAGTTGGGTAATGCAGCATTCAGTCTTTAGTGAAGTGGGGAGAACACAGTCTAAGAGCATGCTTAGGTGTCAAGTCTGGTTCTGCTGCTCATTAGCCCTGTGACCTTGAGCAAGTTATTTAACCTCCTTGCACCTTAGTTTCCCCATCTGCAAGATGGGGGTAATAAAAGTACTTTCTTTTTAGGATTAAATTAGATAATTCCAATATGAGCACCGTATAAATGTCTGTTGTTGTTATTGTTTTTATTTGCATAATTGTATTTCAGGATGAGTTTTTAGGTCTAAGGATAAACCAAAAACCCTACTGCCATCGAGCTGATTTCATCTCATAGCAACTCCATAAGATGGAGTAGGACCACTCCATAGGATTTCTGACACACTAAATCTTTATGGGAGCCAAATGCATATTTAAACTGCAGACGGATATTTCTAAATGTTCACCTGAAGAGTATGAGCAATGAGCTTAGTGTTAGAAATTTAAAGACTGTGTAGCTTAGTAGTTTAAACTAGCGCAGTATTTTTGGAACACAGTGACAGTACCTTCTTTGTCAAAGAAGAAGAGTGAAGCACTCACCTCAAGAAATCAGAGTAATCACAAAACATACAACAACCAAACTCCAAAAGAGGATTACTGTTTTTTTTTTAATTAATCGTTTTATTGGGGAGCTCTTACAAATCTTTTAACAGTCCATCATTCAGTAGTATTAAGTACACTTATACATATGTTGCCATTTACATTTTCAAAACAATTTCTTTCTACTTGAGCCCTTGGTATCAGCTCCTCTTTTTTCCCCTTCCCACCCTTGTGAATATTATTATTATTATTTCATGTCTTACACTGTCTGTTGTCTCCCTTCACCCACCTCTCTGTTGTTTGTCCCCCTGGGTGGGTGCTATATATCCAGCCTTGTGATGGGGTCCCCCTTTCTTCCCTGCCTCCACCATCACCCTCCCTCATGATGTCACTACTCCCACTACTGTTCCTGAGGGTTTTATCTGTCCTGAATTATGTGTATCCAGAGCTCTTATCTGTACCAATGTGTGTTCGCTGGTTTAGCCAGTTTTAAGGTTGAATTCACTCGTGGTAGTGGGTAGGGAGGAAGCATTCAGGAGCTAAAAGGGGATTGCTTTTAAGCCAAAATTAATTAAATGGGAAACAAGACAGGACAGATAAATAAATCTAAATACTGGCTTCTGGTGAAGGATCTGTTGCAGGATCAAATGATGATTTTTGTGTTTTATACAAGATCACTATCAGTCGGAACCAACTTGATAGCACCTAACAACATTGAAAGACTAATAAAATAGATTTACTTAGCCACTCTAATGAAAGAGACAAAAAAGTAAAAGTAAAAAATATACATGATCGGGAATAAAAAAGTTAAATAATTTTAAAGAAAATCTTACATGCAAACAGATTCGATGTAGGGATAGGGTCAGGGGCCCAGGAAGGAAAAATCTGTACAGCCAGTAAGCGTGAAGAAATCTCAAATCTATATTACTTAAGAATACCAATTAAAGTAATATGATTATTTACACTTATCAAGAAGACTTGAGGGGGAAAAACAGTGTGAATATGTTTATATGTATACAGGGGGCTTCAAAATCTTCATGGAAGAATGGAATTAAAAGATGGAGTTTTTCTAGGAACTTTCTGAAGTCCTTTCAAACATATGCAAGCAATGTATGTTGTTGGTAAGCGTGGGAGAGAAAGGATACTCAAACATTGCTTGTGGAAACATGAATTGGTTTCCTTTGTTGAATCCCTGGAGCCCTGGCGGCGTGATAATCATGCATTGGGCTGCTAATTGCAACGTCAGCGGTTTAAAACCAGCCGTTCCTCAGGAGAAAGATGGGGCTTTCTACTCCCATAAGAAGTTATGGAAACATAAATAGTCTCAGAACATAGGAGCAGTTCTGCCCTGTGCTATAATAAGGTCACTATGAATCAGTATTGACTTGATGGCAGTGAATTTGGTTTTCCAGTTTGGTTGAACACATGAATTCCTTGATCCAGCCATCTCATTCTGGGGCATCTCTTGCATGGACATCAAAATACCAGTCCTTGAGGGTTTGCATGCAAGTTGAATTGTTGGCAACAAAGTGAATGTCCATCAGGAAAAACCTCCCGGAGTAACGGGCACCGTCACACAGGAATAATCTACAGCCAACAAGGAGTGACCCCAGAGTTAGCTTGGGGAGGGGTGACTTGTAAGGAAAGCAAGATGCAGGAGAGGCTTTGCAAAAGGACTGCAGACACTGAGGTGTACAGTGAGTGTGCACTCACTATTGTCATCATAATGCACCTCCGTCCCTCTTGGCTATCGCTGTGTGCAAGTAACCACCCACTCGTCATTTCCCTTGTGCCTCTGCTCTTCTGGTAGGAAGTGTGCTTGTTTTCCCTAAGGGTGCTCTATGGCATCTGGATGACTTCAGATGGCTAATTGCTTTAATTGCCGCATCTCTAAAGAGGAGAAGGGGAAGGCGTGGCAGTGTACAAAAACAGTGAATTATTATGTGTGAAGGCACTTTGAAATGTGAACATGCTCTTCTATTGCAGAATGTTCTCATTAGATTCTTCTGCTTTTTTTTTAGGATTTAATGAAGACAATTCGCAAGGAGGCCGATTTGAAGCAAATACAGACTCTAATACAAGGAACTCACACTCGACTCAAATATTCTCAAAGTGAAATCGATGTGATTAAAAAGAAACACCTTGCTGCATTTCACAAGGTACTTGAGCCCACTAGAGTTCCAGAGCACTTAGAGCCAAAGCACACACCTTCAGGAATGCCGTACAGAGAGCCTGGGTCGTTTTTAGGTGCTTTATCCCCTATAACTGTAGTTTTTATTCTTGTTGCCCAGCTGTGCCTGAATTCCATCCCACCTCACTACACCCACCTTCTGTTCTAAAGATACTGCCCCATTGTGTACTTCATTAATAAGTTTAAGTGAAAATAGCCACCCATGTTTGTTTTTTAATCAGGAAAACTCTCAGCTACAGAGTGAACTGCTAAATATTGAGTCTCAATGTACTATGCTGAGCGGAGGAATCAAAGAACGACAACAAAGAGTTGAAGAACTCCAAGAAAAAATCGATAAGGTCATACATGTTAAACTCACTGCTAAGTACCTAAAGTAGTTGTGGGGCCGTGGTAATGACTGATATGTGCTGAAGTGGAGGTAGTAGGGGACAGTGCCTTGTTGGAAACAGCACAGAAGCGCAGTTGGGTGGGCTTGCCAGATTCCTTTCCTGGGTAGCTGACAACCACTGCTGCCCTCTCAGGAGACAGTGACCAGCACACGGTCACTCTCCTGCCTTCCAGCCTCTGCCCTGGTGATAACCACAGCTGCTCATCTCCCTGCCCCACACTCTGCCCTTACAAATTCAGAAACTCTGTTTAAACTTTTTAGTGTGAATCGTGTGAGGGTTGACAGAGCAGCTCAGTTCTCCATTCACGGTTCATCCTCGTCTAGTTTCAAGTCGCTGACTGGCATCTCCACCATGCACCATCACGCATCCCTCCTCCTCCCTGTGTTTCCGGTTTCCGTTCCCCTCCTTTTCTAACCCTATGAACTTTGTCCTTGGGTCAGTGCTACCCTTTGAATTGCAATTGGCTGGCTATTCTTAGGTGTGTGTACCTCCCTGCCATCACTGCCATCAGTTTCTCCTTCGGCTGAAAATTGAGCCAGGGGGTGAGTTTTTCTCAGACCTGAAGGGTGACTAAGAGCCAGGGGCTCAGGGGTTTAGGATTACTTTTTTACATCTCCCACCACATTTTTACACAAATAACGTGCCCTTCTGGAGTTTTTTACAGCCACACAGGTCCCTCATATGTGTGTTTCCTGTGGTGCTCCGTGTGTTGTTTCTCTGGGCACGTCTTGTGGTATTCGTCCAGGTACAGAGCTTGGCTCTGGGCTAACAGATTTGGTCATTTGGCCTCTGGTGTGCAGTGGTGGGAATATTCCCATGGGACGTGTTTCCCTGCTGTGCATCTCTTCCCCTTAGATGTTCTTCCCAACACTCATTTGTTTTCAGGTCCATCTTCTATCATGTCCCTTGAAACTACACTGGATCCTTAATGATCTCTTTCCCGGTTAAAATTCCTCTCATTTCCCTAATCATTCCACATTTTCCTTGCATGAGAGGGTGGCTCTGGTAGGTCCTCTAGATGTTCTAGCATTGGTAGTCCCTGGCCTACACCAAGCATCAGATCAAGACACAACCTGGCTGCCACAGGGACCAAGGGCTCTGCACCTAACTGACACCCCAGGGGGAGATTTTCGACAAAGGTTCCTTGCAGCCACTGGTACCGCCTCAGCCGTCTCGGAAATGTCGCCATGCTCCGATTTCACTCAGCTTCAGCTGAGACGCAGGCTTTTTCACGTGTCCTGCTTGAAAACAGGGCTGTTATCCAGTCATGGTGCATGAACACGCAAACTTACGACAGTGGAGGCTGCACAGTAGTGTGTTGGTTTCAGCTCATTCTCGTTTCTCTAATAAATCTGTCTGATCTGCCCTTCTAAATTGGTCTTATGCTGCCTTGCAATGATACTAATTCCTATAGAAGATAGTTATTTATGAGACCTATTATATTTTGATGTGGCTAACATAAAAACAGTTTTGTACATTTATATGAAGCACCTCATAAAGCGAGAATGCTTAAGTCTTCCTAGTTAGCTTCTGAAATAAGTAACTTGAAAGTGCCTGTGTTGGGGATAGCTTGTGAAGCTAAAGGACAAGCAAGCAGGCCCCTCTCTGTTGGGTGTTACCGGTTGGGACTGACATCATCTAGGAGGATCGTGGGGACACTTAGATTACTGTGTACGCTCTTAAACTCAAGTACTAAACCAGTTGTTTTGTGATCATTTAAAAGGTAGAGGATGAGATTTTCCAGCAGTTCTGCAGAGAAATTGGTGTGGAAAATATCCGCGAATTTGAGAACAAACATGTGAAACAGCAGCAGGAGATTGATCAAAAAAGGTATTTTAATTGAAAGATGTGGGTAAGCAGCTTGTAAATGCAAAAGCAGAGGTGGTTTTGCAATTTCAAGAGATTGTGCACGAGGTAGCTTTTGTTATATTTCATAAGAAATTGATGGTAAACACTCAGATTCCTACCAAAAGATCCAATTGTTAAATCCAATTTTAGATTTTAGATTTTCAAGTGCACAGATAAGCCCTGTAAGGAGAGAGCCTGGGGACACATGTTCACGGTGGTCACTGAAAGAATAATATGGCCCAGCTGGGCTTATCTTCTGTGAATATTAAGATAAATGGATAATGTTTTCAATAAATTATTTTTGTTGCCCAAAATGTCTCAAGACTTATAAACAGTAGAAGGCCAGTTACCATCGGAAACGAGTGTAAAAAACCTCTATCACCCAACGTGCTCCAGACATGCTGTTCCCAGAGCATCAGCCCAGCAGGCTGTAAGGAGCAGGTGACCTCAGCCTTCAGTACCTGTACAGACATTCCCTGTCTACCAAGTAGATATTCAACAACTAACCAAAAGGCCCAAACCTACCAGCTGCTCCATGGGGGAGAGATGAGGCCGCCTGCTTCCAGAAAGATTCCAGCCTTAGAAACCTGTGGAACAAACAGTTCTGCTCTGCCCTCCAGGAGAGCTGGGAGACAAAATCCACTCAACAGCAGTGGATTTGGATCATTGAATTTCCATATTTAAGTTTTATCAGAGTGTAGAAGCGCAAGTTTTAAAATTCAGTCAACATACTATTGATGCTAAAAAAATGACGCATGTAATAGGAAACCACAAACCAATCCCACCTACACCAATTACCAGATAAAATTACCAGATGGGATTTAGCACCACACAGGATGATCTGGTGGACCTGGCAGCAGTAAATTGAGATTGGGCCGACATGAGGAAGGCTGTTGCTGTAATCTACAACGTTAATGATTCAGAGGAGGAAAACATTAACTACTGACTCTATACATGATGAAAAATCAGCTGATGGAATTTAGCAGCCATTAAATTCCCAATAAAATAAATCGGCACCTGTATTCTAAGGAGACATATCTCATTCTCAGTCAGCTCTGACTTCATGGAGCAATACACCAAGTGCTTCTAGTAAAGTCCGAAGCCAGCTGAATGGTCAGTGCCATTGCTGTCACCTAGCCTTCTACTGAAGGTGCTAGTCTGTAGACTTAGACAAGGGACATCATTAAACATTTGGGAAGGAGGAAGTAGAGATACCATTAAATGCAGATTATCTGACATAAAGAAAATCAGAGAGCAAATGAAAAGTTATCAGAAACAATACAGCAGCATACAAAATTAATATAAAAAGTTTAAAAAGAATAGAAACTAGCAATTGTAAATTCTACTTAACATTGAAATTTGGAACAAATATGTATCAAATCTCAACTAATAGTAAAAAAATTTTTAACTTAGCCATTGAAACAAAATATTTGAAGAGGAAATTACAATGGTAGATTCGCTTAAAAACAAAAAACACTCATAGTATTCATATAGGACTGAGTAGAGAGCCCCCAATGGGTTTTCAAGGCAGTAAAACTTCACAGAAGCAGACTGGATTGGACTGTTAACCACAAAGTCAGCAGCTGGAATCCTCCTGCCATTCCATGCGAGAACAATGAGGCTTTCTGTGGTACAGTCTTAGAAACCCCCAGGGGCAATTCTGCCCTGTCCCATAGAGCGTAGGTCAGAATTAATTTGATGACAATTAATTGATGACAATGAGTTTGGTTTTGAGTATGCGTGTTATTCCTGGATTTATGGAGGTGGTTTTTTGTTTGTTTTTTCGTGAATAGTTTCCATTTTTATGTGATTTTTCACTGGTTATTGGCGTAAGAAAATGGTGTCTGTGTTTAGGTTGCTGTACCACCTGCCCGCTTTCCTAAGTTCTCCCATTACCTCTGGCCACACATCCAGTGGGTGTTCTAGGTGTGAGGTGTCTATGGAGTGGTAGCATAGGCAGGTGAAATAGAAGTGATGGGAACGTACATTTGGGGATTGTTGGGTACGATGGAGAGTGGAAAGATGACGCTGGGAGGTCAGGAGGAGCCACAAAGGGAGAGCAAGGAGGAGGAGGTGGAAAAGAGCCAGTGTGGCAGGGGACCCCTTGAACCCTTAAACTTCACCAGCCATGGTGTCACGTCTGCTGCCTCCAGTAGAAATCCACAAAGGTTTATGCTGAACACCCCACCCCGAAGCACGGTGTCTAGTGCCCCTGTTGTGGAGAAGGGAACATGTAAGCCTGTCCCCAAGTAAATTGTTCAGCTTTGTGACTTATCCTCCTCATCTGTTAAATGGACATGATTATATACTTGCCCTGCAGAATCGTACAAGTTACGATGTTTTTTGAACAGAATGTTTCATTCTGCTAGCAGGAAATGTGAGGGAGCAAGGGTAGAAAGGAGCTACAGCGCTACAAGGACTCCTCCTGGAACCACAGTAGGACAGGGCCCGAGGGAGGGAGGGAGCACTCTTCAGGTCCAGGTTGGGGAATTGGAGTACAAATAAAACATTTAAAAACTCTTTGCCATTGAGTCAGTTTTGACACATAGTGACCCTATAAGACAGAGTAGAATTGCCCCCCCCTTGAGTTACAGAGGTGGGAGCAGACTGCCTCACCTTTCTCCCATGGAGTGGCTGGTGGGTTTGAACTGCTGACCTTGTGAACAGCCCAACACATAAACCAGTACACCACCAGGGCTATTTGAAAGAACTGGCTAACTTAATAGCAGTCAACAAATCGCCTGAAACTTAAAGGAAAAGAAGAGGGTAGGGCACTTCTCGTCATATTAGGAAACAAGCAACACTTAAACCATCCATTCACATTCCATGTGCGGATCCTGAGCCAGCAAACCATAGGCCTGTGAGGAAATGAACTATTGAATAAAAAGTAGCTACTAAGGAATCCGTATGGCTCTGCTTCTAAAATGTTTCTGCTTTTAGTGATCAGTACTGAAATATTTAGAAAAGTACATGTTGTCTCTAACCTGGTCACAATTATCTATGGTGGGGAGAGGAGGTAATGCGGTTATAAGTAAAGATAATTATTAAAGTTGGGTGAGACCTAAATGAGGGCTCCTTATTCTTTTTTTTCTTCCTACTTTGGGATTTGACGCTTTTCATAATAAAGTGTGCAAAAAGAATTGGTGGTCTCTGCTTACCAGTTATAATGTTCTGCTTTCTTATACTAGACTAGAATTTGAAAAACAGAAAACTCGGCTAAACATTCAACTCGAATATAGTCGGAATCAGCTGATGAAGAAGCAGAGTAAGATTGCTGTGTTAGAAGAAACGGTGCAGAAAGGTGGAGACGACATCGACTCACTGAAGAAGGTAATAATGCGGGGACGGAGGCACCTCCTGCTTGGTGTTGCACCTTCCTGCCTTCGCTGAGTTCCTGGGGCAGCTTGGGGGGACAGTGACTTGACGAGGCATGGGAAGGGAAGGTGACAGCCAGGGAGTGCCACAGACACTCCTAGACTCTAGCTTGAGTGATGGGGGTCTGTGATGGCGGTTCCTGTAAAAAGATTCCAGAGTTGCAGAGTTTGAGTGGCAGTTGCCGGACGGACGCCGTAGGTAGAAAGAAGACATGCCTGCAGGGGGCTGTCTGGACTGGAGGTGCATTCCAGGAAGGCCAGGCCTGTGCTCATGATCGGGAGCTGGGGAAGGGATGGCAGTGGGCAGTGATGAGCAGGGAGCAGAGAGGAGTGGTTCTAGAGGTGCTGGCGATGACCAGGAGGTGAGGTGGCACAGGAGCCACGGTCTGGAGGAGGAAGGGATGAAGCCCTTCAGAAAAGTCAGTGAAACAGTCACTGCTTTGAAAATGGGAAGGGGAGTCGGCTGGCTGTGGGAGAAGGGGAAAGCAGCGAGGTCCGGTTCTCAAGAGTGGAATGTGGCTGGGACCTGTTCTACAGCAGGCACAGTCAGGGAGCAGCATCTTGGAATGGCTGGTTTGGTTTTATTGATTAACGAGGTAACTGTTCTGTAAAAGATGACAAGTCTACACTGCCGCTCCTCTGCAGATTGAAGACGACTGCCTGCAGGTCGTGAATGATCTCATGGAGCAGCGACAGCAGCTCCTAGAGAAATCTGTCCGTCAGAACGCTAGTACTGAGAAAGGCCAGGCCCAGGCTGAAGAGGAGCGGAAGAAGTTTCTGGCTATTGACAGGTAATTCCAAAGTTCACCTGTGGGAAGGACAGAACCAGAGCCCTCCAGGAATTGACTGTCCATTTGAGATTTACTGTAGGAAGTTTTGCTATTTGAATATACGAGGGTCCTTCAAGTATTGCTACAACACCATAGAAACCTTTACTAAATAAATTACCAACTTGTAAAGGTGCTCTGGTGGCACAGTGGTCTACTCATTGAGCTGCCAACCACAGGGTGACCAGTTCAAAACCCACCAGCCACTCCTCAGGACAAAGATGAGTCTGTTTGCTCCCATAAAGACTTAAAGTCTCAGAAATTCAAAGGGGCAGTTCTATTCTGTCATATAGAGTTTCTATGAGGTGGAACAGTTTGATAACAATGAGAATGATTTCTGATTAATCAAAATGTGAATCTTTTGTTTCTCAACATAATCTTCTAGGTATATACTTCTAAAGAGGAGGTTTTTGTCTTTCTAACTTTTTCCTGAAGATTTCATATTTATAATTGACACCACTTGTCAGTTTGCCATTGTGATAGGTAGGTTTATTGTGCCAACCTGGTCAATAGGAACACGTGAGATTAATAAGGTCACAGTTTGATTGGAGGGCAAAGAAATAACTGGCTTGGCAAGGCCTGCCCCTCTTTCTCTTGCTCTCTGGTGATTGAACCAGAATACCGCTGCTTTCGCTGGTTCTCTGCCTCAACTTCTGAGCTACTCTACCTGTGGGACAGCCAACCCATGGATCATGTCGCTAGACCTTGAGGTTCTTTGAGACCTGCTTTGCCACACTGCTGGTGTATACATCGCTTGAGCTTGAGACTGGTGGTTCCTGTCATCTTGCATTGCTTGAATTTGATATCCTGTCCAGACCTGCTTCACTAAGCTCCTGAGCTGCTGACTGTTGGTGACCAGCCCTGCTGTTTGCTGCCTGTGGGCAGACGCTGCCTGCATTGCCGTAGGGAAGACTCAGCTGTTGGCTTCCTTGACCCTGGATCCAGCAGCCCTTATGAGTTGAAGGACTTTCAGTATATTAACTGCTCCACAGAAGTGAGTTGAACTGAGCCCTCTGTACTACTGTATGGATTAATTAGCTGTTATATTCCTTCATGCTGTATAACTCTATCCATATATATAATCATAAGTGTCCTGGTTTTGTTTCTCTAGAGAACCCTGCATAGCAGTCATACTGTGGTGGCCTGTGTGTTGCTGTGATGCTGGAAGCTGTCATCGGTATTTTCAAATACCAGAAGGGCCATCCGTGGTGAACAGGTTTCAGAAGGCTTCCAGACTTAAGAACAGACCAAAGAAGGAATAGGCTGTCCATTTCAGAGGAAGTATTCACTGAAAACCTTATGAAAAGCAATGAAACATTGTGAGACTGAAAACCTCCTGATTAGAAGCAGGTCACAGTCAGAGATAGAGCCAGAAGATGAGCCCCTCGGGTTGGGAAGCACTCAAACTATAAAGGAGGAAGAGTTACCTTCTCAAGTAGAGTTGGCCCTAATGACGGGATTGGAATAAAGCTTTCAGGACCTCCATTTACTGTTTAAACTAAGAAGACACATCTATAGACATTTATTAATAATTGGAACATGGAATATACAAGGTATGACTAGGAAAACTGGAAGTTATCGAGTGAGCTGAAGTGAACTGATATTGGTCATTTTGAATCAGAAAATCATAGTTTGCTGTGCTGAGCATGACAAATTCAAAGGAATGGTATCGCATTCACTGTGAGAATGCTGTCTGTGACAGGATAATGTGCACGTGAAAGTTGAACATTGCCAAGGAAGACCAGAGAAGAATTTGAATGTTTGAAGCATGGTGCTGGAGAAGGGCACTGCAAGTGCCATGGCCGCCAGGAGAAACCGCATCTGCCTTGGAGTATGCGCAGCCAGAATGCCTAGAGCGAGGATAACTAGACTCGATCCCGCAAACTTAGGAGCTTTCTGTCGTGGAACAAGCAAGAAATGCTTGAGTCTAGAGCAAATTCAGGTTGGGTCCAGAGCGTTCCACTGACCAGTTATCGTATTGTACCGTGTCTCTGTCTGAAGCGAAGCTGTTCGAGTCCCTCACCTGTGGCTAGCGGGGGTCTGCATGAGGCTTAATTTGACTAGATAGTCTGCCATAGCTTCTACAAATTGGGTGTTCACAATTTAAGCTGATACCTGTCCCTTCATCATCAAATGTTTTTCTCATGTTAACTCGCAGCCTGGACATTGCTCTTCCTTGGTGTCATGTTACACAGTGAGTCCCGCACAGTTATTTTTCACATCGGTGTATTTACAGGGACGTGGGAAAGCTACAAAAAGAAGTGGTGAAGGTTCAGACTTCGCTGGAACAGAAGCGCCTGGAGAAGCACAACATGCTGCTGGACTGCAAAGTCCAAGACATCGAAATTGTTCTTCTCGTGGGGTCCCTGGATGACATCATCGAGGTGGAGGTAGTTTAGCCCGTGACATGCCCTGACACACACGTGCAGTGCGTGGGACGGACGGGCACTCTCTTCCTTGAATCTTTCAGGGTTGGGCAAGGGGGACAGGCGGCACATCCCTGCCCAGAGCTGGCTGTCACCCTGCTCCTGCCGTACCTCCTCTCCCACCTCCCCCTACGTCATGTTGTTCTTCTAGCTCTGCAGAAGGCTCTCGAGTCTCTGACTTGTACAGAAATATCCTGGATCTTCCAAAGTTCACTTTATGCCACGTCACTTTGTTTTTTGTAATAGGACATCATTTATTTTTAAAATAATTTTATTGGGGGCTCATATAGCTCTTATCACAAACCATACATGCATCCATTGTGTCAAGCACATTTGTACATTTGTTGCCATCACTATTTTCAAAACATGTTCTACTTGAGTCCTTGGTATCAGCTTCTCATTTTTTCCCTCCTTCCCTCCCCCACCCACCCTCCCTCCCTCATGAACCCTTGATAATTTATAAATTATTATTTTTTCATGTGTTACACTGACCGATGTCTCCTTTCACCCACTTTTCTGTTCCTCGTCCCCCAGGGAGGGAGTTATATGTAGAACATTGTGATCGGTGCTCCCTTTCTCCCCCCACCTTACCCCCTTACCCTCCTGGTATTGTTACTCTCATTATTGGTCCTAAGGGGTTTATCTGTCCTGGGTTCCCTGTGTTTCCAGCTCTCATCTGTACCCATGTACAAGCTCTGGTCTAGCCGGATTTGTAAGGTAGAATTGGGATCATGGGGCGGGGAGGGGTGCCACTTCACTTTTTAAAAAGCCTACAGGTTTTTGCTAACTTAAAGAAATAGCTTTACTTAACCAAAAACTGACACTAGCGTTTGGCATGTGTTCTGGGTCACTTTGTGTTGGAATCAACTCCTTGGCAGAGGGTCTGGTTTTTGTGTGTGTGATTTAGGAGGAAGCTTGGAGGGCCCGAAAGCCTTGTTAATAGTTACACGTTGGGCTGCTGCCCACAAGATCATCAGTTCAAAACTCATCAGCAGCTCCTTCAGGAGAAAGACCAGGCTTTCTACTGCCATAAAAACCTATCGTCTAGGAAACCCACAGGGGTCCTATTGGGTCACTGTGAGTCAGCATTGACTCGATGGCAATGAGTTTTTGTTTCATCTTGGGAACACTCGGAAAATTTTCCATATAACTAAATAGTGATTGCTTCTTTGCTTTACACCATTTGAGCTGACGAAGGCTCCATAGGAATTCACTGCTTTGAAGGTGTGGCGGAGAACTGCACTCCGTTAACACCCCAGAGCAATCTGAGCATCCAGGCTCTTGGGTTGAGAACATGTGGGCAGGAGGGTGCGATGCAGGAAAAGGGGTCCTGCACTCCTGAAGAGATGGTGGGGAAGGAATCTTCTCTGCACCTTTACGAAAGGTCTGCGTGTGGAAGTGGTTCCCAGGAGGAGCCCTCCGCCCAAATCTCAACAGGTGTCCAAGGTGATGGGTACCCTAGAAATGAAGATGATGCTAGAGTGGGCTGTTCCCAGTTCTGTCTTGTCCTCCATGTGTGCTGGACTGGTGCAAGTGTTCAATCTTGGTCCCTCTGTCTGTCAGTAGGAACAGGTGCTGGGATTCATATTCAGCCTCACTTTAGTGCAAGAGAAGGTAGACTCCTTCCAGTGAGGTGATGCTGCCACAACCCAGCTGGGAACTGTTGAGGGGTGCGCGGCCACAGAGGCTCCTTCAGGGCTATTAAAGCAAGGCAGACCCACATTTTGTTCAAGGATGAGTGGCCCTGATCAGGGACCCCTGAAACAGGTTCAGGAGATGGAGACCCAGAGTCAGGCCTCTTCGCTGGGAAGCAGCCTTTATCAGGAGAGGTGGAGAGTTCCTGAGGGGGGACTTCTGGGTCATGGAACAGTGACATGACACTTGGCTGCTGTCCTACCCAGCAGACAAGCCAATGTGAGTTGTTACTTGCTCTCCAGAGGTCTAACTCCTGACAGTGACACTCGCCTCACAACTGTGCTGTGGCACCTGGGCTCTTTCCCACCCGGCATAACCCGCACCTACAGGTTCTTATAGAGAAACTGGGAGGGAACTGTCCCCATCGCTGGCCCTAACCTTTCCTTGTGGACCCATGCAGAGCACCTGGGGGGCCCGCTGCCCCACTGGCAGCACTTCTAACAAACTCACTGCCGTGGAATCCGTTCTGAATCATAGCGACCCTCCAGGATAGAGCTGCCCCTGTGAACTTCTGAGACTGTAACCCTATGAGAGTAGAAAGCCGGGGGAGCCAGCTGGTGGTTTCAAGCTGCTGCCCTTGCAGTTAGTAGCCCAACAATAACCACTACACCACCACAGCTCCTTAACAAGAAAAGTATTTTTATTTTCCAGCTGGGAGGGGAACCAAGCAGCACCCAGGCAACAACTGACATATATGACAGGGAGGAAGCCCTGGAAGTGGACTACAGCTCTCTGCCGGGGAGCCTAAAGGTACCGAGACGGAGGGGCCCCGACGTTCAGAACCAGCTCACTGGATGCTGGGCACTTAAAGACACCGGTTTCAAAGTTTTTGTGGGAACAGTCCCATTTTCTTTCTAGTCTGTTTTCGCATCTCTGCTTGAAGCCCCTCACACTGCAGAGTTAGTTGTACACAATAGAAGTTCTATTTACTTATTTTAAGTAGGTTTCCTGATACTTTTAAAAAAGAAATAGCAGAAAATCAGGACTGTTGTTCGTGTGTGGCCCAGCTTTCTCACCGTCTGCTAAACATGTATCAACAGAGGAGCGTCTGTGTCCAGACATCAGTCCAGATTTTTTAAAAAGCTGTTCCTTTCTTGTGGTTCCACAAGGAGTGTTAGGGGATCTGAGAAGCCTGTGATAAATAAGCACAAGCAGCCCACCATCCAGATCCTTGAATCTCCCATCAGCTCCCAGCCTCTTCCTCCAGGCCTTGAGGTGGTGACACAGCCCCTACGGTTGCAGACACTGCCCTCGACGCTCAACCCAGATAGGTTGTGTTGGCTTCTGTTGTGGATTTGAATTCTGTCCCCCAAAATGTGTCTGGTAAATCCCATGGGGTTATAATCCCATTTTGGGAGTGTGGCGGGGGTCTGTCTTTATCATGTTAGTGACATAAGACTACTGTAGGATGTATCTTGGGCCAGTCTCTTAAGATATAAAAGAGATTAGGAAAGCTAGATGGGGAAAGAAAGGTGCCAAGACATAGAGCCCCTCCAAAGATCCAGAAAGCAGAAGCTGGAGAGACAAAGACTTTTCCCCCAAAGCCGACAGAGTGAGCCTCCCACCCGGCTGACACCCTGCTGGAGCCCTCACCCGTGGAAGCCTAGTGGTTAGAGCTGCCACTTGGTGTTCCAGTTGCGGCAGCACCAGGCACCTGAGGCATGACCCCTGCAGGCTGCTCCTCTGCTGGGCTCAGAGGGGCAAGGCTGGGCCCCATCACAACTCCTGAGGCCTGACTTTGCTGCTCTCCACCCTGGCAGACTCTACGGTCGGATAAGGACGTCGAGGCCCAGCGCACACTAATGCTGCAGCAGATTGCTTCCCAGGAAGATGTTCTCCTGAAGACGACGGCCCCCAACCTCAGAGCCCTGGAGAACTTAGAAAGCATCCGAGACAAGTTCCAGGAGTCCTCAGACGGTGAGCCCTGCTCTGGCTGTTGTGTTAACACGACTGTTGCCCTTTCCAGCAGGCCCCAGGCTGCCTTTGTTCTCCTTACCTGTCCCTCCTGTTGTCTCAGACCAGTGTGGGCTTTTAATACTGAACCAATTGCTTCCTTTCGGAAAATTGTTCAGCTTTCACCCCTAACAGATTTACTGGTTATTTTAGAAAAGATTATATTTAACTGTTTCTTCAAGCCAGAATCCTAGGCAGATGGCATTATCTGACAGAACGTGTCACTCTTAATCAGAAGTTGGCCCTCCCTGGGCAAAGGCTGATGGGCTATAAGGGCCATGTTTTTGGAATGAGTAATGGCCCAGGTGTATGGAAGGCAGATTTACTCACGACCACCACACAGAATGTAGTGTTAAAAACCATGTATGCTTTCAAGTTTAAATCAGAGAAGTCTTCGGGGTTCATAAAAATAAAGCATTGCTTCTCTCTCAGCTTTTGAGGCTAGCAGAAAGGAAGCCAGAATGTGCAGGCAAGAGTTTGAACAGGTGAAGAAGAGGAGATACGATCTTTTCAACCAGTGTTTTGAGCACGTGTCTATTTCAATTGATCAAATCTACAAGAAGCTCTGCAGAAACAACAGCGCCCAAGTATGTACTTTTCACCCTGAATACGTGTGGGAATGTATGTCCTGGTGGGTGGCTGTGTCCTGGTGTGTGTCTCATGAAGGGCATCGCAGTTCCTGAGGATGGTCTGGGGCTCCAGACTCCTCTCCCTGCCTGGTGGGTGAGGTCATGTGGCCCTCTGGGCGGCTCCTTCATCTGAACTGTGAGTGGGTTTCAGGCCCTCTTTCTTCGGAGCTCCTGTTGTCGGGTGCCATATGATTTTAGGGGTCTGCTCTTGCTCTCTGAGGATGATGCAGGTCTGCCTGTGGGGGTCACCAAGGGGAGGAAAGGCAGGATTGAGACCAGATCCTTGAGTGGTGGCCTCTCCCGCACCCACTGTCCCCTCCTATTATGGTGCCTCTGCCGGTGCTCACGGGGATATAACACGTAACACGGAACAAAGGCAGACTTCCAGGCGACTGTCCTCTCAGGTTCTTCCTGTGTGGTGAGGGGTGAAAACATGTCTAGTGGAAAGAACTTTCTTCAGTCAGACTGGGATAAACCCACTCAGCCCTAGAGGGCCAGGTTCATCACTGGGTCCACAGTACCTGGCCCCGCACAGGCTTTAGGAGTTGGGCGACTGGGCTGAGAGAGGGTGAGGGGAGACTGCTGGGCAGTCTGGTGAGCAGGCTCGGGTATGTCTCCCTTCCACGCCCATGTGCACAACCCACTTGTCTGATTACAGGGACACTTAAATTCATGATTGACCAGTAATGACACCTTTTCATCGACACTGAGGAAAACCTAACCAGTCATGATTAAACTCTGTCACAGTCCCACGTTGAAACCCACCAGTTGATTTGTCTAATTATGACCTGTGTGTTTCAGGCATTTCTCAGCCCAGAGAACCCTGAAGAGCCTTACTTGGAGGGAATTGGCTACAACTGTGTGGCCCCAGGCAAGCGGTTCATGCCGATGGACAACCTGTCGGGGGGAGAAAAGTGTGTGGCGGCGCTGGCCCTGCTGTTCGCTGTGCACAGGTGAGGCCTGGAAGGTGCTGAGGCGGCATCGGGTAGAGATAGATGGGCTCACAGAGAACTGGGAGCACTTGTCATGGCCCACAGCTAGCAAGGGTGGCATGACACACATACTTCAGCCGTCTGAGGCCGCTGACAGGACTGAGTCTGTTTGTTGTTAGTAGCTACTGATATTCAAGCAGGATGACGATGTTTTGGCTGCCCAGACGTGACACCAGGTTTGCCACACCACCATCAAACCCAAGCAGAGGAAAATTAGGTTCTACTTTCCTGGTCCACACTCAGAGATGTGTTAGTCTGTAAAGAACGTTAAGCAGTTTTTCTAACGAGAACAGACTTCATCTCACCTATGACAGCAGCAGCTGCTTGTACACTAAAGCTTCAGGAAGAAAAAGCTCACTAAAAGGAAGGCAATGACAAACTGTCAACATTCAAAGCCTTCAATGTAGCTCTAGGTGTGGCTGCTGCTACTTCTGTGTCCACAACCAGGAAGATAAACCTAGACGCCTTTCTCCAGCGGTCTCCCCGCAGAGGAGAGGCTCCCAGGAACAGAGGTGCAAACAGGAGCCTAGGCTGCCTTCGTCTTCGCAGAGCATCAGCCACCATCTGCTAATGCAGATGGATTTGGGGCTGGGTCATGAACAAAACAGACAAACCCCCACCTTATTTGGGGCAAGACAGTTCATCAATGTGGTGTGTCCGTAAGAGAATTCTTCAGTGTGGACACTTGGGAACTGAGAGCATCAGAAAGAAATGATGAAGCAGGCCTAGCAGCGAAGGTGGTATTTGAGCAAAGATCTGAATGAATGTACAGAGGGGTGGGGGTGGATCTGTGGCTGGCCAGGGGAAGGACATTCCAGCATGAGCAGCAGCGAGTGTCTGAGCCCTGATGTGTAAGGCTGGAGAGCAGGTGGGGATGGGCACAGGCCTGGGGTCCTGTCGCGTGGGGGATGGCAGTACCAGATGGGTGAGTGTGGAAGAGGAGCCAGGGAGGAGCATGGCTTAATTAACCAGACTTGGAGGTGAAGAAAGCCAGCAGGTGGGAGGCTCCTAGTCAGCTGAGGGGTGTTTTGCAAAGCTGATTGGACATCAAACAGGACTGGGGCGGGCAGTTGGATCTGTGAGATGGGGAGTTCCAGAGAGTCGATAACTAGAGGCAGGAGCCTGGGTGGCCACCCTGGGGACCCAGGTTGTGCTTAATCAGACAGAAGAGATGACAAGGCAGCCACCTGGAGAGATGTCTTTGTACAGAGCTGAGAGTACTGCAGGTAGAACGTTCAAGAGGAGGCCTGGGCAGAGCAGTGGCTCCGGCAAAGGAGGGCAAGCCCCAGAAGTCAAGTGAGGCATTCCGAGGAGGGGATGTGGCCTCATGCAGGCCAAACAGAACGCACTGGTGGGGAGCCAAACTGATGCACAGCCACCCAAGTCAGGGAGGGAGCCGCACAGCAGGCTCCGCAATCCCCACAGCAGGTGGGTCCCTTCTGCTCAGGACTGCTGGCCCAGACCAGGCCAGTGTGAAGGGACGAGAGGTTGTGGCTGACTCACTGACTGTCGTTTCCCCCCAGCTTCCGGCCAGCTCCATTCTTTGTGTTAGATGAGGTGGACGCAGCCCTGGACAACACGAACATTAGCAAAGTGAGTCTTTCTGCTTTTGACTTTTCTGAGTGTGCGCATAATTTGAGGATCACAGTGGTCAGATGGCAGGCATGGGGAAAAGGCGATGACTGAAAGCATTTTAAATACCCAAGTTAACCCCCCCAGAAGAGGCTGGCTGGTGACTTCATTAGGGAGTATATGAAGGTAGATGGCTGCCATTCCCAGCCCTTAACCCCTAAGCTCTGTCTTCAAGTTGGCAAAATACAAGGTCGGCATATTGAATTCCAGCTCATCTTCACTCTCCCAGAGTATTCAAACATTTTCCCATTATATGGGCTGGTCGCCAAGTACACACTATAGCCTTCTGAGAGCAGAGCTGTATTTTATTTTAAAAAAAACATCTGTTTTCTCTCCGTTTCTAAATGAGGTTCATACTCCTTGGAACGTCTGAGCCATTCCATTTCTGCAGGGACAGAGGCCAGAGCCTGGGAGGCAGGCCCCATCTGAGCTGGTGAAATGGTGCTTGTCTCTTCCCAGGTGTCCAACTACATCAAAGAACAGACCCAGGAGCAGTTTCAAATGATCATCATCTCCCTGAAGGAGGAGTTCTACTCCAAAGCCGATGCCCTGATTGGCATCTACCCAGAAGTAAGCCAATAGAGGGTGGAGACAGGGCACCCCCCCACCACTACACCCCCTTCCTGATGGCACAATGAAAAGCCCCAGGTGGGTCTGGCAGTGAGGGGACTGAATGCACACCTGGAAGTGGATGAGACAGCCATGTGTTTGTTGTGTATCACAGTGTTACCAAATTAGCCCAGAATGGTAAAAGCTGGGGAGGAAGGGGGGGAGGGTTATTCACATGGAACAGGAACATATGGTGAGACTTGGTACAAATTGCAATGCCTTTTCACTCAAATAAGATTCCAAACTAACTCTTTAGCAGCCCTGGTGGTATAGTTGGCTTTGCAATGAACTGCTAACCACAAAGTCAGTGGTTTAAACCCACCAGCAGTTCCATGGGACCAGCTGTCTGCCGAGTCTCATCTGCTCTGTAAAGAATTACAATGTCGAAACCCACAGGGGGTACAATTCTACCCTGTCCTGCAGGGTTGCTAGGAGTTGAAATTGATTGAAAGACACTGAGTTTGGAGTCTGGGAGATTGTTTTTCCATGACAGTAGAGGTGTAAGGGCATTTTAAATGAAACAAGCAAATTGAAGATGGGAAGCCACCAAGTGTGACCATCTTGTTTTGTAAAGTAATAGTATATCTTAACACCCACCTGACCCAGGTTGTTCGTTCACTGTTTTCATCAGCAACGGATACATTGTGTGTGGCAGAGATACCAAGAGGCCGAGTGGCTTTTAGACGTATCCAAGGGGAAAACTAAGACATTAGAAGTTCCAAGTCCTACAGCCAGCTAAGCCCTGGTCATTGGGTCATTCTGACTCATAAACGACTCTGAGTAGAACCCCTTGGGTTTCAGAGGCTGCAGATTTCACAGGAGTACACAGCCAGCCTCATCTTTCTACCGCAGAACGACTGGGGAGTTTGAATTGCTGACCTTATGGTCAGCAGCTCCACATGTAGCCCACTCTGCCACCAGGGCTCCTTTCCAAGACCTGTAGTAGCAGAGAGAGGGAGCCCTCCTCCCGTTGGCCATCCAGAAGAGGCCCTGGGCTCACAGCATTGAGCAACCAGTGCTAGCCCTTTGTTTGCTTGAGTGTAAGGTTTTACTCCATGAATTCTCCTGTAAGCTAAGGTAAAAATCCGTTTACCTTCTGTGTCTTTAGGTCCAAGTGAAAATTGACTTAACACCCTTCCAGGATGGTAGGGGACCCCCACCAAGAAATAGGGATCCTGAAAATGGAGGCTTAGGCCAGAGAGCACCAAAAAAACGGAGCCCCTGCAGGCAGAGATCACTGCATGGCCTGTGGGCCTCAGACCAGTGCAAATCCAGAGTCCCTGAACACGGGCTGGTGCTTACTGCCCTCTTTGCCTTTCAGCATGAGGACTGCATGTTCAGCCGGGTCCTGACCCTCGACCTCTCTCAGTACCCAGACACTGAGGGCCATGAGAGCAGCAGGAGGCACCGAGAGTCCCATCAGGAGCATGTGCCCTCTTGAGCCACTGTGCCACAGGACAGTCCTCGGGTGGCCAGGCTGACGTTCTAACGGCTCTGCAGCACCAGGAATCAACCCTTCATTCCACCCAGCAGCAGGCTCACTTGGAAAGGCACCATTACCCTCTCTCCTGGAGTGAGCTTCGCTGAGAGTTCACTTGGGATGAGTTTAAGAAGTTAGCAGTTTTGTACCACAGCTGAACGTTTAAATTCATAAGATTTTCAACTGCCCTGTCTTCACTTGGGTTGTGCCAACTCTGGTGCCTTTAAATAATCTGTAAGAGAAAGTCTTTTGTTTTTACATGGCAGGGCAGTAAGTTAAGTTTTATAGGAAATTCTTTCAGAGGAACTGTTTATCAATATTGAAAATATCAATTAAAAAATTTACTATTTTCAAATGTCTCCAGTTGACAACTTTTGAGAAGCAAAACCAAGTTTAATGGTCAAACTGAAAAAGGTCTGTTCCCATGCTATCGACATTTTTCTGAATATAATTTAAGGAAACTGGAAAACCACAGGCTTTCTCAAATAACAGATGACATCTCTATTCAATATATTGTGGGTAGAAAAGATGTAGAATTTTCTAAAGGACTCCATTTCCATTTCTAAGTGAACCAATAACCACTGGTAGTCTTCTCCTTAGACCTTGTTGGGCCCGAGAGCTAGCCCAGGAGCAGCCTCTGGAAGTGATGGGATTGCTTTCCTGCGACACTCACCACTGCTTCATGTAACAATAATGTATTTGGGGCCAACGTAGATTGTCACAAAAGCTATGCATCTCAAATTATCACTGGATTCTCCTGAGTCTAGTATTGGCCCCCAGTGAGGACGACATCACCTGCACCTCCAGCTCCTGAAAGCAGGGCTTCAAACCAGTTCCCTAGTGGCCACCACAGCACAGTGGAGTAAGCTTACATTTGTAAAATGTAGGTGTGCTCAAATGACAATTATGGGACAGGAGACCGCAGGAGAGCCTGATGCTTGGGACTGGATCACTGCTCAGACTGGACTGAGACTCCTAGCAGGGCGGGATAGCAGCCATCTTTGGGCCACTGTTTCAGACTCTTCCAGTCAAGACGCCTGGTTGCCATGCAACACACAAGCTGCTCTTTTTTTCTAAGAGGAGGATCCCATTTCTGGCAGGCGCTGACCTAGGATTATTGCCATCCTGGGCATCATACTGGTTCATGCATGCTTCATATATTCAGGCCCATACTAGTTTTCAGTCTGGCTTGAAAAATGCCAACCTCACCATCGAGTGGTCCCATCATTGCTGCCAGCAGCTTCTTTAGACCCACCCCTCAAGTCGGGTGATCCAGAGTCACAGGTGAGCCTCAGCCCAGTCTGCTCTGCTCACACTGCACGGGGCCCATGGGGAACGGGGGAGTCAAGACATATCACTCAAAACCTCAGTGACACACACCAACCAGGACCCTAGTAAAAGCCACAGCCACCTGAACCTGTTACATGATTAAGAAGTTCGCCAGCGCTGCAACACTACCCAAAGCACCTCACTCCTGAGAGGACCCATGGCTGCTGGTGGCAGCAGGCAGCGAAAGTGGAAGGAGTTCCCAGATTCTCACCCCAGCTGAGGCAGGAGCTGGGAAGGGAGAGACCCGCGAGGCATGTGTGGCCATTGCGGGGCACATGTGGATCAGGGAGAGAAGCATGTGGATCAGGGAGAGAAGTGAGCAAACTTCTTAAAGACCCCAAGAATGACGTTAGGTCTGGGGAGGCACGATGGAAAGCCCATTCTGGCTTGAGCAAACAGGGACACAGTGGACAGACCCTGCTCACACCAGAAGGGTGGTAAGGGACAACGGCAGTGGGTAGGTTGCAGCCTGGTGAAGGGGCCAAGAGCTGGCCCTCAGCCCACACCCACAGTGCCTTCCAGAGGATGCCCAGCCCAACTGCACTTCCTCAGTGGTCCACAGGAAGTTTATTTTAAACATGTGCTAATCGATGACGTGGCCTTCCAGGGGAGTGGCAGCTCGAGCTACAACTTGTTGGCTGACACCGCTGCTCAGAGCCACAGAGATGCACACACGAACGAGGTTAGCGCTCGATTCAGGACCAGCATGATAGCCTGTCTGTGCTGCAGAAGGAAACAGCTCTTAGGAGGGACATCTGAAGCTTCAAGATCCGTGACGTGTAACAGTGCTGCAGTGCTTCGATGCCATCGATGGGGAGTGGCACAGTCTCGGCAAGAAACGTCCCATCAAGGGCTGGCAGCCTCTGCAGGCCTTTGTCCTCTCTCTGCGCGGCCCCTTCACTAGGGCCCCGGCTGGGCCCCAAGCGCTGAGGACAGGAAGGCTGCACTGACCCCAAAAGACCGGAAAACTGGGAGTTTTAACTACAACTAAGTGACAAATTGAGGCTGCTTTTTTGCCCTGAGGCCAGGGTGGCGGGACTGCACTGTGAAGGGGCCCGCTAATGTCTTTGGAACAGAGGCAGCTGAAACCACCCCATTCCATTGATTGTCCTTAAACCACCACTCTCACTAGCTGCTCCTGGGCCTGTGGGTCCCACTCACCCCTCACTATTTAACGATGCAACAAACACGCCTTTCGAGTCTTTCCTCCGCAGAGACAACTGTTGGCAGAGACGGGATAAAATGTCAGTGTCTGGTTTCTCATTTTCTCTTTGGCAACCAGGGTTGCTGGGTAGGCCAGTCTTCACTCACCCCTCATTGTTGAGGGCTGGCCCAGGTTCCGGTCCCTGAGATAGCCGGTCCCATCGACGGTCCTGACAGAACTACCTGATGTGGTGTGTTACCCCTGCCAGCAGGCAGACAGGCGGGGGCGCCTTCACCCAGCCTCAGCCTCACGTGTTCTTTTGGGGGGTAGGTGACGGTGGAGAACTGAGATCCGAGTGGCCTTCTCTGGCCGGTCCTCATCGCTCGCATGTGGCATTGCGGCTACAGAGGCTGGTGCTCAGGTTGTAGGCTTTATTGGGTTTAGATCTCAAGACCCTCCAGCATCATCTGTTTAAGCAAAAGAAAGGGACACACGATGATAAAGTGCTCTTACAAGACTATTCACAATGGGACTTCTTTTTCAGAAAGGCTTCAAGTGTTCACAGTGGGTGTGTATACACACAAAGGATCCCCGATGGCGCAGCGGTTCAGTGCTCAGCTACGAGGTGGAAAGTTCAAACCCACCAGCTGTTCCTCAGAAAATGGTCTGGCAGCCTGCTTCCCTATAGCTGACAGCCTGGAAAACCCGATGGGCAGCTCTCCTATCCTACAGGGACACTGCACCTGAGCCAACGGAGGGGGTTCAGTTTGATGTTTGTACTCATTGCCGACTCACAGTAGCCTTGTACACCAAGTAGAACTGCCCCTGTGCGTTTCTAAGACAGTTCGTTCTTTACAGGAGAAAAACTACATCGCTCTCTGGCTGGTGGATTCAAACCACTGACCTTGCAGTTAGTAGCTTCAGTCTGAACCCACTGAGCTTAGGGAGAGTGTACCAGATTCTGAAAACCCATCTAACATGGAAAAAGAAGCACTGTTTAGTAAAGGAACAAAATTAATTATGAGGAAGGGTTTGGCCCACAAATCAGCATGCTGGCTCCATTCCTGAGTGGACAGACGGGAGAGTATGGCTTTGACCAGGCCCACCAGCCTGTGTAGAAGAATGTGCTAGCAGTGGACACTGGCTTGGTCAACACAAACCATGGGATGGTCTGCCCACTGCTTTCCTGCAGAGCCTCCTGGGCCAGGCCTGCTTCGGGCACACAGCCTGAAGCCAAGGAGAAGGTCCTTGTCACCAACAGCAACAGCCACCGGGAGCCAAGATGAGACACCAGAGACCTTGGGGAGGCCAGACCCAAGGAGCCATGGGCGGAAGATATCCAGAGGCAAAGCCATGCTAAGGGGACACTTGGAGGATGCAGGTCTGCTCAGTCCCCAAACAGGCAAAGCACAAACCTCCCTCTAGAGGCAGGGCTTCCCACATCTGGCGATACCATCTCCCCAGAGAGCTGCAAAGGAGACCCCACCCCTGTCTCCTGGAGGATGGGCTACAGCACACAAGTGCCGGGGGAAAGGGGCACTTGATCTTTTTTTACTTCTGAAAAGGCGGTGGTGAGCAAAACCCACTTGGGAACTATGTTCTAGGCGCCGTGCCCCAAAACACATCTGCATCCTGCAAGGCATAAGTGAGGGATGGCGTCCCCGGTGCCAGCAGGATGGCTATGGGCCTCTCAGCCACAGCACAGCCTCCTCAGCTGCTCGCTCTGACACCATGCTGTCTGCGCATGCCTAAGAATCTTGATTCTACAGCCAATCTCGGCAACAGCGCCTGCTCTTGTCTCAGCATGTCAAGAACCACTAAGCCCACAACCGAGGGGCAGTGCCAACTAATGGGGGAGGGGGCCCGAGAGCACCCGTATGGCCTGAGGCTGTCATCCTTCAAGAGCTGATGACCATATCTTCCGCCAGTGGGTTTGAACTTATCGTTTTGTCATGTCAACAATTAACCACTCCACCACGCGCCTGGGCTCACAGATGCCCACTAAGGAATTACCTAATGCCATTGCTTAGTAAATAAGCAGTATGTTAAACACTTTGGAGTTCTCAAAATCCCCTGGTGATTGGTGACTTGTTTACTGTGGTTTGCTCATCCTTAGCTGAAGATTCCTCTCCCAATCTCCTCAGGAAGAGCGTCCAGGCCACAGATGGCTGGAGAGGCTCCTGGTGCCTCCCAGGTGTGGAATGATAACAGGTGAAGAACAGACGCTGAGAGAAGAGATAGCTCAGGGACAGATAGCCAAGGGAAGTATCTACCCCAAGAGTAGGACACAGAGACCCTCGCAGAAAACTGTTTTTGTTTTTTAATGTAGTTAGATAAAAGGCATTAGAGAAAAAGTACAGAACGTTAGACATCAAGCCAACGGTCCCCATTAGTATGAATCTCAGGAAGAGAAGAGTTGGGGATAACCACATAGATAAGAGACTGCTCCACACTGGCTAAGTGGAAGGAAAATAACGAAACAAGGACGTGAAAAAGACTTCCACTTAGACACAGCCTCCCTCCGGGGTTCTACACAGACATCGGGGAAAGCTGCCAGCAGTGTGGAGAAAAGAGAGCGGCAGGCTTCCTGCACGTCAGCGAGGGCACGGTGAGCACCAGAGCTTCTTCACCAGGAAGTCTGGTTGCTCAGACAGTGGCAGCCGGAGGGGAAATGGCCAAGAATTCTAGGTTCAACTACTAGCGGCGCCTAAGGGCCAGGTACAGACACTTGCAGGAGCACCAGCCGGTGGCACGTTCCTCTCACAGTGTCTGAGGGTCCTTGGGGCACGAGGACAAGGCAGCCTGGGGACAGCAAGAGGGCGGGCTTGGTAAGAAGGTGAGACGCAAGAGGCCACACTAGTCTTTGGACCAGAAGAGGAGCCTAAGCACTGCTCAAGAAACAGAGGACCTGGAGAGCACTAAGGTCTCTATGCGGAACAAAGCAAGAAACACACACACTGGACCCTGACCATGTGACATGACCTTGGAGGGACCCTGGGGAATCCCCAAGAAAAGGTATTTCCATGTAAACACTGCTATGGCAGAACTTTTTGGACCAGCTGCCCCTCCCCACATCCCCGCCTGTTGGGTAGTTGACTTAGGCAAGGTAGGGAGTGGGAGGCAGCCACTCCCCCACCACACACACACCAGCTGACTGTCATGACAGAGACTTGGGTGCAGGAGAGCTGAAGGCACCCAGCCCAGCTGGGAGAGAGTGGCTACTGTTCAGAGGTGGGCTCAGAAACAGATGCTTTAAATGGTTTCTCTACGATCAAGTTGGCTTAAGTCATGATAGTGCCACCACTGGACATGGGGAAGCAGGTGTGTGTGCGGTGTGCGTTGTGTGTAGGAGGTCTGGTCATGTTTCTGGAACTGGGAAAAAGCAAAGCCCTCACAGCCATTCTGACCCACAGCCAGCCCGCAGGGCAGAGTGGGGCTGACCGGTACGCTGGCTACCACTACCATCTTAAGATGCAGGTTCCACATGCACTTTTCTTCCATGAAGCCAAGCACTTACGGTCCGTGTGGCTATTTCGGGGAGTAGGCCTCACCTGGTGATTCAAACTGCAGACCCTGCAGTGATCAGCCAGTACACAGTCACTATGGCACCAGGGCTCCCTGTGAGCCTGGTTAGATGGGGAAATTCATCAAGTCCGCAGGCGACAGGGACGTGGCATGTCATCATCCTTCCCAGCAGGAAATGAAGGATATAAAGCAAAGCCCCACAAGCCACACCCAAGCAGACCAGGTGGGTTTGCAACATGTTTCCAACTAGAAGGGGCTACCCACCGGTGTCCGACAGCCGCAGCCTTTTGGAAACTTCCACCCCATTCTCCTCCAGCTTCCTCTTTGCACAGTCCTGACAGGCATTACCTGCAAGAAGGGGGGAATCCACAGGCAGGTCAGAGCCTCCAGCATGCCCACCCTCAGTCTCCCCAGGACACTACAGACACTGCCCAGGGAACAAAGCCTCTCCAGAAGGCAAGGGGGCGTTGTCTAGGACTCATGTGAGTGACAAACTAGAGGGCCCATCACGTGATGATGGGTTCCAACTGAGAAGCTGCCTGAACTAAGCTCGACCCACTGTTAAGATGCCACACAGACACGTGTTGCATCTCTGGGGAGGTGGCCAGGCCATGGGCAGGCTGAGGCTGAGCACACAGGCCTCCGCTCCTGGCCAGCACGTGGCAGGAACCCAAGAGTTGCTGACATTGGCCTGCTTGGGGAGTCTGGGAAGGGCAGCGTTGGGCCCAGCAGAATGACTCCACTTGGGCCAAGTGTGAACTAGGAAACTGCGCCAGGTAGACCGGTCCAGAATTTTCGGGGTGGGGGGAGGGGGAGCTGCCACATGGCTGCACCTCACACTGCACAGCCCAGCACACATGGACTCCTCTTGGCTCCCCCCTGCATCCATCTTGGAGGCCGGCACTGGCCCAACCTCCCTGGCAGGGACGTGTCTAACACAAGCTGGGACCAGCAGAGAGAAGCATGTAAAGGGGGTGTGGGCAACAGGCGTGCAACAGAAGTCAAGGGGAGCCTTACTCAGGAGCGTGGTGCTGTCCACCCGATCTGCGTCTGAGAAGAAGTAAAACAAGTTGTCAGAGCGGGCTCCTCCGCCCCACCCCGTCCCAGCACTGGCCAGGTCCTCTGTGTCCTGAACACCCTGCCTCCCTGCTCAGCACCCCGTATCTGTGTCCTTAACAACACAGTCAGGGATTGGGAGTCCTGGTAATCCAATGACCCTACTCAGCTGCCGGGCCTAAGATCAAGGGGGCTGGGCAGAGGGGAGAGGCCTGGTGTACACCTGGGCACTAAGTAGTAGACAAGTGTCCCACGGCTCACTTGTCACCTACCTCCAGCAGTGGCGAGGGCGACCAGAAGTAGGGCCAGCTGGGACATGTAAGGCAGAGCCCTTGGGGGCTTGTCTCTCCAAGCCACCATGCTGCCAACACTACCACGTCGACACCAAGCGGCACACGACCACTTGTAACTAACCAAACAGCAACCCAGACACACTGCAGGCTGCCCTGCGCTCAGTGGCCTTGAGCCTGGCACCCTCCAGGCTCTACCCTCACAGCCGGGTGCTCTGAGCCAGTCATGGGCCCCCAGTTCTGCGGCTCGCTGTGGCGTGGCTAAGCCTGTCTGCGCTGTGTGCCTGGGCTCCCATTACCGTGACATGAGAAGCTGCATGGAACTTGGCGAGTGTGCCATCGTCAATGATTCAGGACCCTCGACATAACCAGAGTGCCCTTCGGCAAGACGACCAGGCTCGGGTTTCTCGGTTGCCTCGGTCATGCCAAGCCTCAAACTGCTCCCCAAAGAAGACCCTCACCAATGACTGTACAGTGTGTGGTGTGCAACAGACCTGGGTGCACAACGACACCAACTTCTATAGAAAATCAATGTGTTCACCTAAGGCAGTGATGAGAGAGTGGCTGGGTGGGGTCTGCACTTTCCAGCAACACCAAGGGATAGAGCAGCTTGGTCATTTCCTCTCTGGGCAAGGCATCTAAAACAGGGTGGGGGTGTGGTGGGGGTGGGGGGGTGCGTACAGACTTTAGGGTGACTGCATCTGTCCAACCACAGGGTATCACCCACCCCTGCCCAGCCTCTCCTGCCCCACAGCCCTGGGTGGCCCTGCGAAGCACTAGGAGGCTCCCGATGACCAAGAAGGGTGGTGGATTCTACTGGGCAACACTGGTCCTGGAGTGCACAAGGACAACTGGGGCGAGGGGATGCGGGGGTACCTACACTCTACTGGATTATGGACCAAAGCTTTCAATTGCCCAGGGCACCAAGGCAACTGTTGGGCATGAGAACAATTGTGTGAGGCAACTCTGCTATGGTAGGGAAATCTGATTCTCAAAGACTAGGGGAGCAGTAGTCTGGGTTTGGTACCTGGGCCCCCCTGGCGGCAGATCTGGGCGCTGAGCTCCTGCACGTAGCCTGGGAAGCTGTCGAAGCAGTCCCCGTAGGACACCACCTTGATGCCGTGCAGCAGCAGGTCAGCCTGCTGCTTGAAGAAGTGGTCCTCGCCCTCCTTGAGCACCAGCATGTAGTGCTCCAGGTCCACCCTGTTGGGCACCGCGTAGAGGAACAGCGCCTGGAAGATCTGGTCGCGCAGGGTCTCCCCGCAGCCCACGAACAGGAAGGACCGGCTCAGGTACAGGTTCTGCAGCGCCTCCTGGAGGAAGGGAGGCCGTGGACGTGACAGTCAGTCACCCCACAAAGTGTGTGACACTGCTCTCGGCCCCCCAGGAGCCACACAGAGCAGCCAGTCGCAGCACCTGCCCGCACTTGTCACAAGGCTCAGACCCAGGCAGCCAGTCAGCTGGCCTGTGCCCCAAATCAAAGCCCTTCTAGCCCAGTGGTGCAAATGCTGAGCTCAAATCTAGCACATGTACAACGTCTAAATATTAAAACATTAAACAAGGTATTCAGAATGTTCCGGCTCAGAGCTGCGCCCACAGACACCTGGAGCCATGCCTGCCTACGTGGGGGAGAGAGAGAGAATGAAAGAGAGAGTTCTTTCTGTGGGAGGGAAAGATGAGGGGCAGGCAACTGCCAGAAGCAAAGAGGGTGGGCTGGGCAGACCACAGGGTGACACCTGGAGAAGGCTCAGTGGCACCCACCACCTTTATCACACAGCCTCCAGACACAGCCCAGTCGCCCTGCTATGGGCACCCCAGTGCCAGTCACATGGGCTCTGGGGGTGCCAATGAGTGACGGATCCCCCCAGCCCCAGCCCTGAGCTTGTGGATGAGCAGATGGACGACTGCTGCAGGGAAACAGCGAGGAAGGCGGGCCCAGGGGGCACACTACTGGGCTCAGAGAGTGCAGACGGGAGCAGGGAAGCCAAGAGGTACACTCCAGGTGTGTGCAAGAAATGGCCAGCAGGGCCCCCCTGCTGAGGAGCTTCCCCTGCTCCCTGGGTGACAAGAGGCCCCTCCAGGCAGGGCTGAGCTCTCCGCAGAGGACGCTGTGTGCAGTCTCAGTGGTCCCATGCCAGCCACCCCACCCCCACCCCAACCAGTACACCAAGCAGGCAGACCGAGGGATACAGGACCCAGGGAACCACCTGGAATGCAGCCCCGTGGCACCAGGCGTCCCCAGGGCTAGGCCACAGGCTCGGAGCGCTAGGCCACCAGGAGACGCACCATAACTTCGGAGTCTTGAGTCACATCTTTATACCCTGACGGGTCCAGCACCATCCCACAGGGGTCAGTGTACAGGCCGTGGATGTGGAGGACGCCATACTTGATGTGGCCTCTTGCCCACTGGAGCACCTGGCAAACATGAAGAGGGAAACTGGTGTCACCTCATGCAGGCACGCGTGGAAACCCACCGGCCTCGTGGTTCACGACAGAGCCGTTCCCACTGGCGCTAAGGCAGCTGTGCTGACGCAAGCCACCCCACCCCACCCTTCACTATAGTATCTCACACACCGTTCAGGAGGGAACATCTCAATCCCGTGAGCTGACTGACCGCCAACCTGTCAGAGGGGCCGCAGGGAGGGCCCTGCGTTTCTCAGTCCTGTGTCAGTTTGGCTCCTGCACCAGAGAAGGCCCTGATGCTTGGGAAAGGAGACTGCATGCTGGGAAAGCTGGAGGGGGCAGGGGCAGTGGGAGAAAGGAGGATGGGCCCCGACAAGATGGACGGACACAGTGGCTGCAACAATGGGCTCAGACGTGACGACTGTGAGGCTGGGCAGGAGCAGGCGGTGTTCCACTCTGTCGTAGACGGGGTGGCTATGAGTCAGAACTGACCCCACAGCCCTGAACAGTCATGTCTCTCACAGCTATGCCTTGTGACCCCACGGCCGTCTGGGCACTGACGCTGGAGGTGGGCACAGGGGGTGGGGACACCAGGTGCAGGGCAGCATCATTCACTCACGAGAGCAGAGTGATGCTGACGAGGGCATGGGAAGGGGCAGTCATAATTTATGTGTATGACTATCTGGCCATTTTAAAGCACGCTTTTAAAAGCATTTAATAACGGAAGATCTCCTACATTTACGGGAAAAGTTTGTAACTTGGTACAAACACCACATAGGCTGCCATCCCATTTTGTTCTAGTTGCCACTAAGGCCATGGAAGCTTCTGCTTTGCCTTCGTGAGGCTTTCCTTCCTGTACATTGGTCTACGGAGCGCCGGCGACCACGTGGTTACACGTTGGGCTGCGATCTGCAAGGGCAGCAGCTTGAAGCCACCAGTCGCTCTGTGGGTCCCACACGGGCCCTTCTGTTCCCAGAGTCAGGTCTGCCTGTTCTAAAGGGTCGCTGTGAGTTGGCATCGACCCGATGGCAGTGATTCTGGCTACAAGGAGTTGAGTGTGCATTTGAGAATCTTACAGAGAGCAATGCCAAAACAAAGCGCCCAGACCCGCCCAATGTCACCTCCTGGAGCCCCCGGAGCACAGCGTGGGCTATGCACACAGGTTCCACCCGGCTGGCTCCCTTTCAGAAGCCAGACCTCTCTTGTGCAGCACCACTGGGTGGGTTTGAACCACGGACTTCAGGTTAATCAACTCAAAAACTCACTGCCATCCTGTCAATGCTGACTCATAGTGATCCCTGTGCGTTTCCGAAAGTATAAAGCCCAGTCTTTCTGCCACGGAGCTGCCAGTGCTTTTGAACTGCCAACCACACAGATCACAGCCAAACTCAGAGCCCCTGCACCACCACAGCTCCTTGAGTGCACAAACTGTTTTGCACCATGCAGGGACCAAGGAGAAAGTCAGAAAGGACAACTGAGAAGCTGTGGAGGGAAGTCAGATACTTGTTGCCAGACTGCTGTCTCATGCCACGGCAGGGCTGGGCCAGCTCCCAGATGCTGGAGACAATGGGTTACCTCTCTCTGGAGCCTAAGGCCATTAGTTTGGCTCCTGTGGGCGGAGTTCGCACCCAACTGATAATGGTTTCTATGGAGACCCAGAGACCACCCTCTCATAACTGGGTACCCTATAGTGTAACCCCTCCCTGTGACGTATGGCTCTACCTGTAATTAGTGGGCTGGCATGCCCCCAAAAGGTATATAGGCATGGGTCAGCAATATAGAGCTCTCGGACTCGGACCCCTCAGACTCTGACCTCCCTGACTCTTCCCCCACTCCCTTGTTCCCTTACCCTCCTTCCCTTCCCCCTCTCTCCACGTGGACCACCAAGCTGGGCTGAGGTGAGCAATGGTACCATGTAATGTGTCTGACTGTATTATTGTATTATCTCTCATGCTCTCAATGACTTTAATATAATACTTATATATCTCAACCGTACAATTGTGCATTACTGAATCCAAGTAGTAGTAATAGTAGTAGCAGCGGGTGGGGGCTGGCCCTTCACTCCCCCAGCATCACTTTTTTTAATTTAATACTACAAGAAACCAGGGCCAGAAAGCCTGGAGGGATGAAGGGTCTCCCTGTCCAGCTGCTGGGGGTCTGAGCGTGCTTGGGGGCCAACCATGGAGAACTGCCAGGTAGCGGCCTCCTGGGGCCCGGTGCCCGCACCTTGGTCTTGTCCTTGAGGTCCAGCGACTCCATGGGCCGACCCTGTTGCCGCCCAAAGAGCTCGAGCAGGTTGTCGTAGTTGGTGGTGAGCACCATAGCGCCACGCTCCATCAGGTTGAGGATGGCCTGTAGCACCAGCGGGTCCTGGATGTGGTGCTCCAGGCTGTCGAAGACCTCCATGAGGCAGTCCTGGAAGAAGTTGGGCTTGGTGTCACCTGTGCGCTAGAGAGGCAGAGCGGGAGTTAAAGACAGCATCTCAGTGGCCGCCATGTTCCAGGAGCTGGGGACACAGCAAGCAGGCAAAACACAACCCAACACCCTAAGCAGAGGCCGAAACAGGCACAACAGCACTGGGTGACAGCCAATCCCCAACCCCTGCCTTCCACCTCAACTGACCATGAGGCACAGCCATGCCAGGGGTGAGGGTGGGGGCACAGGAAGTGAGAGCAAAGCCCAGAAGATGCCACCACACAGACACTGACCGAGTGCATGGGACCAGGCCTGGGGAAAGCGGGGGTGACAATGAGTACACCTGGATCTTTTATGCAGTTTTGTTCTAAGGGAATCAGGGAAGTGGGGGTGGATAACAGGGAAGGATGTAGAGGGCCAGAGTCCGTGCCCCTGAAGGATCCCCAACCAGTCTGTCTCCCCACTTAGAACCCCTGCCCACCACACTCCCCTAGAATCCACCCCTTCACCGGTGGTGCCCTCACTGCACAGGAAGCCAGAGACCCTCAGTGACTGCGTGTCCATGTCCACCGGGCTCCAGGCAGCCCCCTTCCCGACACACTGAGCTCCTAGCCCACCTCCTCAGAGCTCCCAGCCCCCAGACTCTGAGGCGCCCACTTCCTCCCAGGCACCCGCCTGTATCCCTGTCATGGGCCTGGAGGGGCCCGTCTCCACCCTGCCCTGTGGCCACCAGGACTGCCTGTTTCCCACTCAGGCCCACCTCCTGTGCTGCGAAAGCCCTCCTGGGGCACGTTCCCCCCACCCTGACTTTGGCTCCCACTTTCTGTCTGCCCTCCAGCTGGGTGTCCACCACCCTCGGTGGCAATTGGCAGCCACTCACCGAGGATTCCACACTCTGCCATCCTGCTCCCTAGCACCAGGCCCATCTTGGCAGTGCCTGCCTCGGATACCCCAGGTCACCCTCAGGCACCCACTAGGTGTGTACCTCCCGGAGAGCTGCTCCTCCTCAGCCTCTGGCCCAACTGCCCCCACTGCAGTCCCCCTCCCCTCAACCCACCACCACCTCCCAGGAAGCCCCCTCTCCCCACCCTACCCCCACCCCGACCAACCTCCTCACTAGCCCTGAGCGCACAGGTGTCCTTTCTCCCGCTCCCCAGTGAGGGTCACCACCCACCGTGCATGTGCTCTGGGATGCTCTCCAGCTCCTTTCTCTGCCTTAGTCGGGATTCCCTGGAAATTCAGCCCCACTGGGCACCTGTGCCAAGCCACTTGTGCTCTGCACCCAGCTCTGATCTGCCCCCAGCCCCCACCCACCTGAACTCCACACACAGCACCGCAGGGCAGCATCGAGAGCCTCGTGCTGAGGGCCTCCCTGGAGCCCCTTTAGGTAAAGTCCTCAGAACATGAGCCAAGTAGAGCGAACAGCAGCATGACGCTCAAATATTCATATTCACTCCCTGGGGAGCCAGCATCCCCTCTGGCTGCTCTCCAGGAGGGGTGGTTTTGCCCATGGACCTCCATGCTGCCTAGCGACTCCCTGCATTTGCCTAAGAGGTCCAGCCTCTGACCTCAATCTGGCTGGGTGCATCATGGAGGACCCAACACTGACCTGTCACCTCACCTGCTCTGTGGAGGAGCAGACCATGCATTTTAGCCCCGGGCTCTCCTAACCACAGGTATCACAGCATCTCCATCACTGACCATCCTTCCTCCCCTGGAACACGCCTACCAGCAGACAAGGGCCAGAGTCTCCACCCCCACCCGCAAAGCCCAGCCCAGCCCATGACTAGAAAACTCCCGAGTCTGTCCTAACTCGCCAGCTCTGACCTGAGCTCTATGGACCAGAGGGACATGCACAACTTGCCAGGGACTCACTCACAGGGGACATCTTGCGGATGAGGTCGTGGGCAAGGACCAGCAGGTCTCGGTCCTTGGTCACCTTCCTTCGGAACTCGGCGATGTCCCCGGGGTGGAGCACCTCCAGTTGGCCTGCAGCCTCGATCACAGCTTCAATGCAGCCTCGCCAGGAGCGCAGCGCCGGGATGCCCGGGGCCACGGCCGCACTCACGCCCGTCCCGATGACCAGCAGCAGCTCCTGTGGCTGCTTCCGGACCAGGCTTTTCAGGAACTTTCTATGTGACACGGAGGGAGAGAAGAAACATCAACCGAAGTACTGTGGCGCAGAGAGAACCTAAGCACCAGGGGCTCAGGCAGCCTGCAGGGCACTGGCTTTACCACCCCACCCCACCGGGAGCCTGGGCACTGATTCCAAGGGAGCCCTGGGACGCAGTGGTCAGCACACCAGCGGCTCTACAGAGAAAGACAGGAGGGCGGCTCCCCTGTGGGGCAGTTCTCCTGTGTGCCAGACCACCCAGGAGTACTGGACTGATGGGCACTGCCTGTGAAGGCAGGCCCACACTGTCCCGAGACCGGGGCTGCACTAGAGATGTGTTTAAGTGCAGAGGGGCAGTGAGCCATCATCTCTCTGAAAGGGGCGGGCAGTAAATCATATCCATTTGGGAAACGATGTCCTAAAGCAGCGGTTCTCAACCTGGGGGTTACGACTCCCTTGGGGGGTCGCAACTCCTTTGGGGGGTCAAACAACCCTTTCACAGGGGTCGCCCGATTCATAACAATAGCAAAATTACAGTTAAGAAGTAGCAAGGAAGATAATGTTACGGTTGGGGGTCACCACAGCATGAAGAACCGCATTAAAGGGTTGCGGCATTAGGAAGGCTGAGAAACACTGTCCTAGAGGGTCACGGGGGTGAGAGGGACTCGGTGGCAGCAGGTGAGCGCGTTTCCTAAGGGATTGGGGGTGCTGTCTTATTCCTGGACCCCTGGTGGAGCAGTGGTTGCTGATGGAGAGGTCGGCGATTTGAACCCAACAGCCACTGCGCTGAGGGAGAAGGAGGGCCGCCCCTCCATGAGGAAGACAGCCTTAGAAACTCTCTGGGGCTTCCACTCCGTCGTCCTACAGGAGCACCATCACCCCACCGCGGGGAGCCCGCCCGCAGGACAGACACGCAGGCTGCTGGTATGCCAGGCACCGCTGCAGAACACTGCCTCCTCTTGTTGAAGCCAAGGGGCAGGCGGCCCGCCAGCATCCGCTCCCGACCCTCAGAGACCAAGGTGCCCTAGACCAGCAACGCAGCTCAGGGGAGGCACTGTGTGCACCCGAACCCTGGAGGGGCTGGAGTCTTGCTTACCTTGATTTCTGTTCACTTCTGTTGGTGGTCTTTGCCACTGAATCCATCTGTGAACCCTGAAGAGAGAAACCCGTCAGTCTTCCATTCCCCAGACTCGAGCTGCCACCAATACCCAGGAGGAGCGCAAAGGCTGGGGTAACATCGAAGGTCGTCGTGTAGATCAGCACAACCAAACGACGCGCAGGCCAGCGAGTCCATTCTGGCCACAGCAAGCCCACCGGGCAAAGGAGACCTGGTTCCCTAGGTTGTCAACCTGGGCCGAAGCAGGTAGCCTCCTCTCCCTCCCAAGAGCGGCCCGTGGGAGAGGCCATTCTGACGCAGGGAGACCCCACAAGGCAGAGGACACCTGGCTCCTGACGGTCCCAGAGCTGCACATCCTGGTGGGAACACAGCCTTGCCTTTCTCCCACAAAGCAGGTGCTGGGGTCCAGCCACGGGCCAGCGGTCAGCAGCCCCATACCTAATCCACAGCACCACTAGGGCTCCTTTCAAGCACTTCTGGACCAGGCTTTGCCCCTGCGCCAACTCCCCGAGTGGCCATGCAGACCCCACCCCAGGAAATAACCAGGGCAGTGTCACCTCAGCTTCCATGACCCAGCCATGGTCTGTAAGGCCATGGACTGTAAGGCGCCTTCCAGATGGGTCAACTCTTCCCAACTCCCATTTACCCTAACCGAGAACGAACACATGCTATAGACAACATGTTTCAGGGGTGGGGGTGTCCACAATCCTGCTGGCTATGTGCCATGACAAACCTGTGCCTGTCCTCCCCTGTAGGTGCTGTGTGAGATCACTGTGCACACGTCTCCACTGTTCTGCGCACAGCAACAAGAGCAGGCAGAAATAGCCAGGTCAGGGGGCCCTCCCGCTCTCTGGGAACCCCTCCTGCCACCTGGTGCACGGTGCCTGAGGAGAGCACCAGGGAACCAAAACTTTGAGTCACAGCGCCACTCCCTGAAAGGTGACACCAATGTGTGTTTGGGGGGGGGGGGGGGCAGCACGGTTTTAGGGTCCATACCTGCTTTTTCAATCACATTCAGGTCACCATCACCAAAAATACCTGTGCAGGGCTAGGAAATGGCTTCGGATGCCTGGGCCACGTGATCTCAGCGACAAGTGGGATTCTGAGGACTGTCTCTGACAAGGGGACACAAAGCGGGCGGAGAAGAGGCGCAAAGAGCCCCAAACTCCCAAAGGTGTCTCCACCTGTTCCCTGTTCAGGAGCTGCAGGCTGCAGGGGGACAGTGAGGCCCACCGGGCTCCCTGCTCCCCCTCTGACGGCACTGCCCGCACATTTGTTTCACTCAGTGGAAGATCCTAATCTCCTTCTGGGACAGATGTCTGCCCCTGCAGCTCCCCCCAATCCAGTTCCATGCACCTCATCCTCAGCAAAGCTCAGGCTGCAATGCCATGGCTCACCCTGAGACCGTTTGGGAAGCTGGGGCTTGGGGAGAAGGGTGCTGTGGCATTATAACCTTCTGGGTGCCCCCGAGGCTCAGGCTCTGGCGTCCAGGGGACTGCTCCCCACACTGGCTCCGGGCCTCCCACCATAGAGGGACGGAGCCGTCCCATCAGTGGGGTCTCCAAGAGCTGCCCACAAACACTCCGGCTGGCCTCGAGCACAGCCCTCATGCGCAGGGCCCCTCGACTCCCAGTCACCAGTCTGCCAGCCACGCTGAGACACGCGGTCCCCCGCCCCCAGGGGCCCCAGCGAGAACTTTCAGATCCTCACGACTTCTCCAGCCAATGACCATGGTGACAAAGACCTAACACAGTCTCCTCAGTCACAGAGCCATGGTCTGTAGGCCCGGGCCTACAAACGGAGAACCGCTCTGGCAGGCTCCCCACAGAACCACTACTCAGCGTGGGAGTCGACACCCCGGGACTGGTGGGCGCCACTGGGCCTGGGCAGGGGCCAGGTGTGGGAAGAGAGAGCCTCAGCATCCCCGGCCCCACTGCACAGAGCAGGTGGGCACTACGTGACGTGAGTGCCCAACACCAGTGTGCCCCACGCAGGTGCCCATATTTAGGCATTTACAGTTCACTCTCTCAAGTGTTTAAAGCATGACCTCATTTCCCACTCACCCGGCTGCATCCACACCAGAGCCAAAGCCCACAATCTCCTTGAACCCTCCCTCCTCCCCGCATCCTGAAACCCAGGGCCAAGTGGGTGAGGCACAGCAGCTACCTCCGAGTTCTGAAAGTTTCTGCCCCCATCCTGTGTGGCTCCCCCAAGCCTGCAGACTCCACAGCGCCAGGAAGAAAGCGGAGAAGCTGCGTCTCTGGTTTCCTGGGTGACTGCCATCGCCAGTGTGCGGGCTCAAAGCCAACCCATCACAGCAACCCAGCTGCCTACGCTCCAAGTCTCGTTCGAAATGGCCTCTGGTCCCCAGCCGCACAGCACGACAGAAGCCCTCCCTGCTCGGGGCCTGGGGCCACCTGGACTTCACGGACTTGAGAAAGAGACTGGGTCCTGGCCTTACTCTCTGAATACCCAGCGCCCATCCAGCACTGTCAGCGAGCTGGCAGAGCAAAGGCAGCCCAGCCCTGTCCCATCCTGCTCCCCCAACTGTGACCGCCTGTTCAGGAGCCAGCTCACCCCAGCAGGCCTCCAATGTCCACCCCAGCCGGTGTCCAGCACACTGACTCCGGGGACTGGTGGCCTTTTCACCCAGTGTTTACAAACGGGAAAACTGAGTACAAAGGGAAAACAAAAAGAGAACTGGATGGTGGCAGGCTACCGTGACGGAGCGTTTGGGTGTAAGATTCCATAGAAGGCTCTCATCAAAAGAGGGGAAACGGAGAACAGAATTTCATATTCTCATAGACTCCAGACTTCCCTGAAACGACTGCTCTTCATCTTCACACCTTGAACCAAAAATCATCCCCTGCAGTCTTCTTGCACCCAAGCAAATGAAGATGCCTGCACCCCACCGGTGAAGCTGCCTGCCCAAAGTGCCGCGCTCTCCAAGCTCTGCCCAAGGCGACCCAGGTGACGAGGGCAACTTGGAGGAATAGGGGAAACCTTAGGGGCTGTGAGTTTATGCTGCGGGGAGAGGAACCCACAGGAGAGTGGGCAGAAAGGTGGCATTCCTTGGAGAATGTAATCAGTGTGATCCAATTGTACCTGCATATAAAGTGTCAAACTGGTTTGTTGAATGTTTTGCTGTAAATATTCAAAACAAAATCATTAAAAATTATTTGGAAAAATCATTCAGCTTCTATTACAGACACTTTTACTTAATGAGCACAAACCATGGATTGGAAATCTTAAGTCTGTGAACTCCTTAAAAATATCCTTTAAAAAAAGCAAACTCTTAATCTTTCTCCCCCCTAAGTGAATTTTCTTACACAGAAAAGATAACGTCACTTGAGGACTAAGGGCCGAGCCATGGTACTTGCAACCACCTGCCACGCAGGTGTGAGCTGGCCGACTGCAGGCTAGGCGGACGGAACCACTGGACTGTTGGAGTGGGCAGAGCGCAAGGCCCTCGGACTACCAGAAGCACACACACAGCTGTCTCGGGAGAAGTGCGCTTTGACTGCTGCCTGGATGCAAGGGTGGCAAGACTTTGGCTCATGTTCTTTGGGCCCGTTGTCAGGAGGGACCAGTCCCTGGAGAAGGACATCACAGTAAAGCGGGGCGGGTCTGCCACTACGGGCTCAGAAAGGGGCGGTGCCTGTGAGTCAGGTCGACTGGACAGTGCAGGAGGGCAGGCGATGACGAGGAGGGAGGTGTGAGAGAGCAGGGCCACGACAGACGGCTGCACTGGTGGCCTCTGGTCCGGAAGACAGTCTGCTGGTTGCCTGACAGTGTCTTTTGCCTTTACACAGCAGCTAGAGTAGGGCAGAGCTGGGCTACTCAATCAGCGAGATACGCAAGGGCTTTCTCGTGCTTACTTACTGATCTGAAGTGAGCAATTTCACATGCTGTCATGTTAAAGACTGCTTCCAGGGATGGCAGGCACCTGTGTCTCTCCCAGGCCCACAGCACCTGCCTACCAAGTCAAAGCCTCTTTTGAAATTCTCAGTGACCAAAAGGGATGGGGGGGATCCAGTCAGCCAGGTAAGCACAGGCTGGCATGTGCTTTCTTGCTCAATGGGAGTGAGTTTCACAGGGGTCCCCCACCATCTACAGAGCAGTTTCACATCAGTGGTGTGGGGAAGACCCGTGAAACAGCCGTCTAGCTCACCTGGCTGATGGGGTCCTTGGCCTCGTGAAGGTTGCCCAACGTTCCTAGTGTTGACTCCAACTCTCCCAGACCCAGACTGAGAGGCCCCTGGAATGTAAGGCACAGGCAGAGAACGGCTGAGTTGACTGCTGGGGAGCCCTGAAGACGGGGCTACTGCTCCAACTACAAAGCCCCGGAATCGACAGCAGCAGGTTTGGCTTTAGAAATATTTCTGGTCATTTAAATCAGTGGTTCTCAACCTGTGGGTCTCCAATCCTTTGGGGGTCGAACGACCCTTTCACAGGGGTTGCCCAATTCATAACAGTAGCAAAATGACAGTGATGAAGTAGCAATGAAAATAATTTTATGGTTGGGGGGGTCATCCCAACATGAGGAACTGTATTAAAGGGTTGTGGCATTAGGAAGGTTGAGAATGAAGATATAAACATAACATCAAAAAACAATATAAATGCTGGACCCACAGAGACTTGGGAAAACCAAAGCCTGGCCCATGTCTACAACACAAGGTAAAGACAATCCCCACAACGGGGCCGACAGGGAATGTAGCATGAACGACGACGGAGGCTGTCGTGGTTTCTTCTTGCTTGATCAAGGCTCACGGAAGCAGCAGCTGAGAGATCAAGACCTGCACAAGACCCCTGTAAAATGCTGAAGAGCAAGGGGCTCACCTTGCGGATCAGGTTGCGCCTGACTCAAACCGTGTTCATTTCCATCATTACATGTACATGTGAAAGTTGTACACTGGCTAAGAAAGCAAGCAGAATAATCAATGCATTTAAATTATGGTGGAACAAATATTGACACTACGATGGAGTGTCAAGAGAACAGATTTGTCTTGGAAGAAGTTTTTGTCAGAATGCTCCT